TTTATTTCCCGTCCATGATAATTACTTTTGTTGTACAGTCATTATATTGTTGTCAATGTCATTCAGTTAGGAACACGATTTGAATTGGTTTATTATGTCCTACATAGGGACGTCTGCTTATTTTCAGTGAAGCAAGTGGTCTGTGCCATATAGTCATATTTAGATTTGTGTGGGTCAGTATAATTTCGTATATAAGCTTACTCATGTCCAAAGTGTATATTGTACTCATTGGCAGTACATAAGTAAGGTCTATTAGATTTACGGTATATTCTAGTCAGATTGTGATATGCCAGTTCGCCTAGCCATAACCTGCAAATTTGAAACTCTGTTGAACTTCTGTCCATTAATGAATACTTGAAGATTGCGTTTATCTATCCAAAGAAGTAATCTAGTCAGTTAATTAAGTGATATTTGCACCTTTGTTTACTTCCGGTCAGTTTTGCATGAATATTCAAAGTACTGAAAACACTGAGAACGATCCTGTGGTTAGGTATGTTAGGAATAATGGTGTTCATAGTCACATTTGTACATATGTAGCATACTCTAATAGTGGTTTTGTATATCGTCTGTTGAAGTCTTCTACCTTCCTCCGGGGAGTTTGTGTAATAAACTCATTAAACATCACATCCATTATTCCGCAGAGTTTTGATAACAAGCTCCAGAGAAACTCCTGTAGCCATAAGAAGCGGAACTATTTGAAGTTAATGAGTATAACCCTGCCTAATGGTTACATTCTGGACACCGTAAGACCTTTTCCTGAAGATTACAAAAAGTCATCATGGATAGTCTCTCCTGGTTGGAGAAAGATGACAACGTCGTTGTTGATTGAGGGTATATGGATGTTTTGCCAAATTTAGAATAACGTGGTTTGACAACAAGCATGCCGTCATATCTAAAACCTGAACAGACTCAACATGACGATCTACAAGGTAACCTTCATAGGTCAATAACTAAATTTAGATGGGTTGTGGAGTCATTTGGACGATTCAAGCAACGGCTGCTTTTCAAATCACAACTTGCTTCCATCTATTTCATGGATGCCATTGAGGCATTTGTTAGAATAGTTACAACCTGTCTCAATGGAATCTGAGGACCAATATATGTTAGAACACAAGAGCAAGACACAAATGATAGGGCGCTGACTAGCAAAGTGAAAGAGCTCCTTATTGTTCACAATAATCTAGATCAGCGTGTAAAATGAGCCAGATCTTACCAGAAGTGCCAAATTACTATTTGTCAGACAAGATGCTACTACGGATAATTATGACTTTCCAAAGACATGGAATACCTTGGGACAGTATCCTGTGGTGCATACCAAATATCCTTGACAGCCGGCAACATAAGTGAGCAACTCAGTGCTGATGGTCTATGTGATCTGCGTCTATCGGCTCTCACGAGACATTATACGATAGCTGATCTACACGAGGCATCAGAGGAGTGTAAAGTACAATGTTTGGATCTGTCCAGCATGACACCTCTGACGCCATTAATCCCATAAAGGATTATTATTGACAATTTCCTACAGGACAGAGAACCATGGTGGGATATGTGCCCATTTAGCCTGTACCCATACTATTTAGGATACTATATACATATGAAAACTTTCGACTTGGAAAGTTAGATCTACAATACTGTACGATGTAGACCAATACTGCCATTGCTAGTCAGATTCTAGAACGAAGAAGCCATATTGGATTCTAGATTAAATGATTTAATGTGTGAACCAAGTTCAATTGATCATTTAGCATTCTTTTTAGAATAATGATTAAGCAGGTGCAAGAACATCTAATTTTTGTGGTTATTGGGAAATATGACGGTGACAGTTCCTTTCCACCACAGAATTTTTCAATTTCTACCCAAATAAGACTCAATGAAACTACTAAATGTGATCTATTTCATTTACCGATGAATTTGACCAAATTAACATTGCGAGTGCGTATGAATACAAATATTAGGTAAGGGGAGAAAACTCCCCAACTTCTACTAGACAGGCAATATACCACAAGTATGAGATTTAAAAACATCAGAATAAACATTAAAACACTATTGAAATCTATTAATAAAATTAGAAAAAATAATTCGGCAGACAATATGATCCTACATAGCATCAGTGTCTAAGTCAAGGATGTGCATTAGGTGTGTCGTATTTCCATAGTCTTACAGGAAAAGGTGGAGCTCAAAACTTTTTGATATCCCCTTGTATCAGTTATTGTTGTACTGAATTATTGTCAAACGGATGTTTTCATCCTTTAAGTTGGTGCACCTTTTTCATGATGACTTTAATGTCCAGGATTTATTATCAAAGTTTCACCTCTAATGCTTTAAGATGATCAACCAGGCGATATGATTTCAAAAAATAACTTTCTTTATTAAAAAATGAAATCGTCGCAAACTTGACAGCTTGTAACCTGCTGCTCAACACAACGTTTACTATGCTTTATCTTATACATACATATCTGAACTTCTGACCAATGACTTATTTTTATTCATGAAATACACATCCCATTATTTACATTTTCTTGATTCTTGATATTTTATTCATAAGTTCACCTTTATACACAACATGGTGCTGCAAATGCAAACAACGAGTGTCATTTCCATTTCTATTTGTGATTTTGCAAGGTTTGCTTTTCTGTTTCATTGGTATGAAAACCTTTGAGCGAAAGCTCATTACGACATTAATAGCCGCTCATTCCATTGATATGAAAAAATATGTAAAACGTTTTAACGAACATTTAATTTCGGGCAAATAAATAGTTCACATATATCACACACATATTGCTTTCAGTTCCAAATTAAACTACTGATGTATTCACATGTAATTAAAGTCAATACTCTCTTACATGACAATTAAAACAAGTTCTCTCTCTCTCTCTCTCTCTCTCTCTCTCTCTCTCTCTCTCTCTCTCTCTCTCTCTCTCTCTCTCTCTCTCTCTCTGTCTCTCTCTGTCTCTCTCTCTCTCTCTCTCTGTCTCTCTCTCTCTCTCTCTCTGTCTCTCTCTCTCTTTCAGCAAATTATATTTTCTCTGTATAACGAAAAGAGTGATCTCCCTTTAGTATTTTTTTAACACTGTGTACGTGGGAACGTATGTAGGCAATATTAAATATTTTCACCATTAAAGTAAAGAGTAACCCCCCTCTAGTAGTTGTTTGTTCATGATAGCCTCGTTTAAATTACTTTTTTGATATGATTTACTATTATTCCATCATTGAGAATATTTCAGCAATTCGTATACATTAATCAAATTTTCATCTGTTGAATTCTTAGCTGCATGTTCCGAACATCAATATAATCCAGATTTTTCAATCTGTCTTTGGAATATTTTTAGGTTTTTTTCAAACTATTTTCTTTTGTATATTCTTAGAAATTGCAGATTGCACAAACTACTGGTGAATTTTAGGTACCCGGGGTTATCCTTAACTGGCATGTCAAGTTTTAATTCACTTGAATAGTTGCGCAGTTAAAAGTATATACATTTTTCTTGCCATTCTTCTGCTATTTTCAGATATATCAAAATTACGAAATATATGAAATGGCGCTAATATACCTTGCCATGTAGATTTTCTTTTAATCAAATTTTATTGACCTCAGTGGCTTACTAGTTTTCGAAATGTTATCTCGTAGCATTACAGACGAGCCATAAAGGACCAACAGATTTATGATGCAGTTAATTTATCACCTGGCCTTACTGTATCTGAATATGATTTTGTAGTGCTTTCATCCAGTTTGTCTATTGTACAATCTTATTGGATGAAGTAATATTACAAATATCTTTGACTTTATGTCATTTAGATGTATGTTGGTGAAAGTAGTTGTTATAGACAAAAAATTTGTAAATCTGTATTGGTTTCATAACTTTTTCATGTCCACTTAATTGATTTTTACATTGATCATATGCTTTTTTATTCAGTTATTATTAGTTTTGCATATTACATAACTGTAACAGAGTTTTTTGTGACGTCACTTCAGATAATCAAATGACAGCACACATTTGGAGATTAAAATGTAACAATTAGTGTTAAAAATTAAGTTTGACGTGGAAATGTTCTTTTTCTACCATTTTTTCCTATATTTGATTATGTCATAAAATGATAATAAAAACAGGTCCTTTTGATATGCGATTTATGAATTTTTAATCTTAGCATGCTTAAATATTTACTTATTTCATAAATTCACGTACTAAATAGAAATTAATGATTCAAGATCCCATATTAATGGTTATTGGTTCAAGATATACTCATTTAATATCACATTGCTTAACGTGAAAATAAGCATCTAGATTCTTGCTGTGGCTGATTTTGTCCTTGATTACATTCTGTAATTGTGCGTCCCTGTAAAGGTATCTGTGTCATTGTGTACTGATTCTTCTGAATTTTATTTCAGAATTTAGTTTTTTGCTTTTTTAATGAAACTAATTGAACATATGAAAATTAAGTCAGTAAAAACATAACACAACAGATCAATAAGATAACTTTATAATTTATGTAAAACATATAAATTATTCATCCATGTAAATTAAAAGGTAAATGGGTCCAAATTTAAATAGTTTAAAGAGTTCAATTGCACCAGAGCATATTTAAGGTAAAGAATGGCATAAATTATAACTACAATATCTATTTTCAGGTTGTATCTGCTATACAGACAGAACTATCAGATAAATAGTACAGCATAATAAAACAGCAAGAAAAGCAATAAAGATAAAAGAAATCAACATAACCAGAATTGGTTAATGTCTTTATATGTAATGCTGCTATTCAATAGATTCCTTTGTCGGGAAATCATTATTTTTTGAGGTTATAGCACCGGAGTGGAAATTCATCTTGATTTATTATAAGCTGTAGGGCAATGAAGAAAGGGTCCTACTTCAAACCATACAATAATTGACCTGTTTATTTCAAAGAACTATGGATATGCTAATGTCAAAATTCGTTATCGTGAGGTGTTGTAGGAGTATGGTATCGAGCATACTATTCTTAGTTAAATTAAGTTAAATTTAAAATTATTTTAATTTTTTATTCAATACCCAAGGCCATTTGATGTTATAGTCACATACAAAAGCAATTGGCGTATCAATTATCGATAAAGACGTTTTATCTAAATTTAAAATATCTTCTACGGCATCAAGCATTGAAGGTGAATACATGAGCGGTAGGTCACCTGAGACTCGTATTGTACCAGAGCAGGGCTTATACTCTATAGGCTCAGAATGTGGCACTTGACACATAGGTTTGCATGCCCTTCCGCATGAGTCATATGCAGTGATATAAGCACTGATATCGCCCATATCCGGGTTTTTGACACCAACATATGTCATTTTTGTAGACATGGTGACAGTCTCGTCAACTATAGCATAATCTTTATATCGTCCAGAATAGTCTATACCATCCGATTGAACATATACTCTAGAAGTACGATTATCTGACATTATGCATTTTTCATGTTTTGCTAATTTTAAATCTTCTTTCAACAATAATTTATCCACTACATCTAATTTCATTTGATAGGTTGCTTCTTCAGATGGTCTTTGATAAATGATTTTCACTGGAATAAATGACCAAGCATCTACATCTCGTCTTCCGTCAATGACGAATGTGTTCTGGTAGTCCTTGTGTAGTAAGATGTTGTTCTCGCTAAGAATCTTTTCTACTTTCTTCGATGCTTTTCCAAGACTGCGCTTTTGCCTCCCTGCTTGATTAGTACTTCGCTTTTTTCTTAATAGAATATTACTTAATGGAGAAAAAAACGAAAATCTTGGAGCTTGCAATACACGTTGATTCCTGTTAGAGGTTACTCGTGGGTCTGTCAGACGAAATCCTGTTCTTGAGAGCAGATTTCGTACCATGGACGGATCGGCTGGGACATATCCTATTTGTCTGTTCATAAATGAAAGTGAAAGTTCAGGACTTTCTCTTGGAATACACTGACCATGTACACAGTTAAACATGTTTCTATTTCCACATGCTGGGCAGGAAGGTGGTGGGTCGTATTGAACAAGATCGGCAAAGAAATTGCTATAACAATCAAAGTTTGTTAATGACGGAAATCCATCGACTGGACGGAAACGTTCATGGAACAAACGTGTGGATTGTGGATAATCCCTAGCTGGATCGATTCCTCGGAGAATCTGTCGATATCTAAATCTTGTCCAAATATAATCAATATGGGCGTGAAGGACAAAAAATATAGGATCTGCTGTGGAGGACTCTGAAACCCCCATGGCACCGTCGATATACGAATGAGGACCATTGTGAAGACTTTCTAGACTTAATATGGGCGACGTTGATCCTTCGGTAATCTGGAAAGCATACATCTGTGATAGAATACGATTGATGACTCCTTCTGACATCAGTGATCCATCACTGGCGAGATTTCTAGTCAGTGGTATTCCAAATGTCTGCCATCCTCTAAAAGGACCATTTATAACAACACCATTCCCGTTTCCAAAATACCGTGAACTCCAGATCATAGATCTAGTGGGATTGACCATTTTGTAGTCCATGGAAGAATCCCAGTACGGAATAGATGTACCAAGAGCAGTTTCCACTCTGCAAAATATAGTGGTTATATTGGTTTCAAACAATATGTTCCTTTAATTTAGCTTATGGTCACGATACATACTAAACAACTGGAGTTATTCAACTTTAACATAAATATTCGTGAGGATCAAATTTCGTGGTTTTTCAAAATTGTGCATTTTCGTCATTTGATTTCGCGGATAAAACCTGCTCACGAAATCTACAAGTACTATAATTCCATGTCAGTTTTCGACAACACTGATCAATGGCTAGTTGATTGATTCATATATCATTCCGCATAAGCAATTATGTTGCTCATCAAAAATGCATTCTATGAATGATTGTGAAGCCAAAGAAAGTGAATAAAGAGGTGTTTGAATTTAAGAGAGGAATTGAACTATGGTATGTCATCTGATAGAATACTCACAACAACAAATATAGTCGGTGCCACCCGTAGAAATTAGGCCCTCCGTGTGCTGACCGTGACGCGATTCCTTGATGAAATCCAGCAATAGCGTCAAACCGATTAGGAGACACGTCCTGAAACAAAACAAGATAATGATGCATGTATGGTTTTATCATTATTGTTATTAATTCCATGGTTTTATAAAATGAGTAAAAAGGCTTAAATAAAACAGACTATCAGTTTCTCATTTTATTCTATACTCAAGGTTATCTAATTTCTTTTTTCCCCATTTATGTTTGACAATAGATTAGATCTATATCGATTTTCCTAGATTGTACTTTTGATTTCCACATTTTGACATCCAGCAGCACTGCCCAAGAAGAAAATTTGTTTATATAGTACTATTTTATACTTTATATTCACTGCTGGCTTGTGCTTCTGGGAAAACCGAGGAACAGACCGGTCTGTATTGACGTGGTTATGTCCCTTGGCAAGATATTTCGAAGTGATTTTGCTTTGCATGGCATGCGACGAGTCCATTGTGTGTTGTTCTTTGAAGTAGCCACAAACTATTACAAAGATTCTAGTCTCAAAATGATTCTAGCTGTTCAAGGGGCGATAAACCAAGTAAACAAACTAATAAAGACTGCATGTTATATCTACTATAATGATATATATGTTACTATTTCGTCTTTTGTATATGTTAACCTTTAAAAACAAGTTTTATACACAAAACGACAATTATATAAACGTTTTCGTATAGTTCTCCGTAAATCAAGATACATAGGTAAGAAACAATATCGACAATTTCATGTCCTTTTGTTCTATTTTGAAAGGAATTGACTCCATTTTATCTGTTTGTACGTAAATATATTTTTTTTATTTTGTGATAATTTAAATACCGCGCTTTAAAGGTTCCCTACATTGCTTTCCATTGCTTAATATGTATTGCGAGGGCACCGGATCCGTCATAGTAATTACTATATCGTTATAATAATTTCATCTAGGTGACGTGCTTAGCTATTACTTAGGAAGATGAAAGTACGCTATAAGTATATATATATAATTTAAAAATTGCAAACGTTGACTATCACAATTGACAATAGGAAGTAAGATTTCGACGTTTACCGTTTGCATTTTGAGCCAATTCAATCTCCCAGCAAAGTCGTTCCATTCTCGTAGAGACAGATCACGTACTTCCCTCCTTCGCCTACGTCCTAAACTTAACCTTAGTTGTCTCTTATGGCGATGGTTCCAATGATCCCCGACAATCTTCCTGAACAGTGAACCAACATAGGATAATGTTTCATTGGATACATCATGATGGTACCTGTTCCCAGCAGTAACCCACAGATACTGATTTATACAGAAACTGTTGATATCTTGAGAAGGGAATTCTGTCACGCTGAGATTCCAGGTTTTCTCTAAATAACACGACGATAGCTCATCTGGCATTCTGACTGGCTGTATCAGACAAGTGATTCCTGGTAACTCCATCATGTACCAAAACAAAACAAAAGACACGCTAAACAGCTCCATGCTATTCATGTCGAACACCTAAAATACAGAACAGAACGTATTTTGGAAGCTTCAGAATGATAATACATACATAAAAATAAAAGTGGAACGAAATGATAAAAATTGAAAACCAAGCAACAAAGAAAGACAAACATATTTGACATAATGATAATTTTAAGCAGCCACTAATTAAATGGAGATATGACAAAATAAAATAAGAACAATGAAGAATTTACATAGAAACTCATGAAAAAGTAAAGGGTATAAGACAACGTAAACCTGAGGGGCCACAAACTGTTTCTACGTTTTATGAGAAAACCACAATAATCTTCAAGGTCAGCCGTAGTCACGATATTTAAGTTTTAAACAATGAAGTGCTTCATTTTATGAAAATTGATTTCGTATTGTATTATTCACGTTTACCGTTTTGTTTGAATGATGTGTTATACATTTTGAGTGGTCATAAATTTTATAGCAGTTTTAATAGTATTTTCAAAGAGATTTTGAACCAATCTTCAACACACACTTCTTAAACCATTTCTTCTAATTTTTGAGTTTGGGTTATGATTATGTTGACATGTCGGTATATTCTTGTTTGTTTGTATTGGCTTTTTTTTGTTTTTTGTTTTTTTTTGCTTTTGTTTTTAATCAAGTTATCTATTTATTCAGTTTGTGTGTGTAGATGTGTGTGTAGGTTTTTTTTTTTTTTTTTTTTTTTTACTTAAATACTTCAAATAAATTCGTTTTGATCTAGTGGTATTTTTTTTGCTAAACTATTCTTAGTTACCAAGGCTTAAACTAGGCTTTTAGACTTTTCAAGAAATATTTCAACATTATGGTGTTAGTTATATAATTGTTGACACAAACTCAGGTCCAAAATTTTATAAAGTGACTTTAATATCAGTCAATAACTATCTTGTGGGTTGAAGTATAATACTATATTTCACTTTGTACTTTACCTAGCACAGACGGTGAACTGATAAAAAATGCATTAAACAGTCAACCTTGAGTAGTTAACATTTCTCTGTAACACATGGCGTGGTTTTTGTGTGATATATTCATACCATTGATGGATGACAGGTGTCAATCTTACAATTAATATACGATAATATGTTCACTGAAATAGGATTGACATTGTGACATATGATGGCCTTTGAAATAATTTAAATAATATCTATTCAATCAAAGTATAATGCTCTCTTCTGGCATTGAAAACACGACGTGTTCTAACGAAGTCAATGTCAAAATGCTGATGTACTGTATTAACGAAATCATTTATTCATAATTCAATTGATAAAAAAAAACTATCATGGGGATGTTCAATTATTTAAAACTTCGGATTTCTGAAAGGTATGTTTCCGATTACGGATTTCCTCATTGTTTGTTCAATTTTTACTTATTATTTTATTCCTTTTTATCATCACTGCAATTTTATCTTGAATGTAATGTTACCTGTACCATGTTAGTGAAAGAAAATAACATATTATACTAAATTACAATTTAAGTTTATATCAATCTTTCCTGATCTTATTGTTAGTGGAAGGTTACTATAGATGACATTTTGAAAATACTGATTTTGACCTACATTCACCTCAATAACCCTTCTAAATCATAATTGATTGGCACTTCGATGAATGCGTAATCAAGTGCCGTGTCAAATTGTTCCGATGTGGGTCATGGTTCTGTTTAATATTTTCCATAGGTTTAGCTAATATTCAGGTGTGTGACCTTATGAACAGAGGATCATCCAATAGATGAACTTGGTGATATTAACACCATTACAACGACAATAATTCATTTAATATTTAAGACAGATACACAGAAATATTCTAAAGTGAATATATCCGTAAGTGCTGTTAATGCAAAATAGCAACTGAAAAAAATTATGAAGAAATGAAATGTTCTTCAAATGTCAAGTACATTTTCAATCAACAATCGAATACATTTGAGATATGATATGATATTGGCCTGTGATTTGCACTAATATAAAATATGTAGAATCCGATATGTATCATGTTATCCTTTTGGCAATAAATGTTTTCTTTGGGCAAAGAATAAGATATAGGACAATGCATTGCTTTACATGAATGCAATAGCAGGTGAGAGCAATCAGAAAATATTCTGGTGAAATATTATATGTCTATGGGTGAAACAGATTTCGCATATCACTTCAAAAATAAGTGTCATTCAAAGCGAAATCCAATCAACCGGCAAGTAGAAAGCCATAAACTCAAATGATTCTGTTAATCAATGTTTGATAAAAGATCTGTGAACATAAACACATGTTCTTCAACTGAATTTACATTGCTAATGATATTTCAGTCTTAATATGTACTAGACTTCACCTGCCTAGCGGCGACACAAGGTATTTTTTCAAACAAAGAAGTTCTCTAGTTTTAAAGACACGATCGTATGCTAGATCTAGATGTGTTTGCTGTGACACTGATAAAACTAACAAGCATTCTTAACAAAACACGTATCATATAATGGTTTGTAGAACTTCCGTTTTGTTTCATGCATTCTCGTATAAATCATAGTAGTTTAGTTTTAACGCCTTATATTGAAATCAAAGACATCAGGAAAATACCAACATGTCAGCATGATCATAATCCAAACTCAAATTCAATAGTAGTGGGGCTTAATATGAACAAAAGAAAGATTTACACGACTCCTGAAAAAGTTTAAGAAGAATAAGACCAGGTGTTCCGAAACAATAAGCGTCTTCTGCTCCATCGACGACACCCGATACACAAATCTTTGTCAACTCAATTAGGTAATTACCCCTTCTAAAAATCAGAAGGCACACAACAATAAAATGTAATGAGCATCAAACACGTCCATCTTCATATTGCATAAAGAAAATATTATTTTTCCTCAATGAGATCTGTATGACGAATATTCCATTTTTTGAACCTACTTACTCTAACTCAGCGATGAAACTAGGATAAAATATGGTAAATCATGAAAAAAGTATAGGGAAAAAAAGACAAGGTGTTCCTTGAGGGCAAGTTTTTTCCGGTTCGTTGATTATACGAGCTATGTAAATTGCGGTCATTCCGAGTAGGTAATGTCACGCTTCCAAAGGTTAAAAAAAGTCAACGGAACTGCTTTGCATACGAACTTGCATCAAACACGTCAAACTTCATAGCTCACAAGGAAATCGAATTTTTGAAGACGTTTTTCTTTACGCTTGAGGTCAAGTTTAAGATATAACTCTTTCATAGATAGTTTGGTAATAAAATCGTATTCAATAATGCAATGTTTATTGCTTGTATGTAAGTTTTTTTTTATTTTAATAGGAACATTTAGCGAAAATGAAGAGGAAGCAATTACATAAAAAAGGTATTTTACGTAATTCCCACGCAATCAAAATTAAGTTAAATTATAATGCTTCGCATATTTATTTCAAAGCCTTTTCACTTCTAGTTAACTCGTAGTTTGAATATATTTCTCACTATTTCGGGGCTGAATATTCAATTGTACATATATTACCGTTGACAATCTAGAACAATAACGATTTCTTGATGGTGAATCCTTATCCTTTGGTATTTTTCTTTCATTGATATTTTTCTTTCGTTGATATCTTATGAAATATTATTGAATAATATTTATATAACAAGTTGTTTTATTGTTGTGATGTTAAAATTATTTATGTTTCTCTGATAAGCTTAACTATACTGAAGAAACAATATCCGTGAGTGTCATTCAAAAGTTTTGTGGTTTACTAATTAAAATGAAACCGGTAACCGCAGTCATAAAATGACCTCAAAATAGCTGAATGGCTTATGTGTCTCGGAGCATGAAAAAACGATTATTTAACTTTTTTATGCATCGACCACCATTATATCATCATATCATATCCAAGTATGATGCTTGTTCAATAAAGGTTTTCGTGTGTTATTTCCGGGAAATTGATAAGCTGAATGACAAGCAGTAAATAAATTTACATTTAATCACCTGATGTCATTGATGCAGGAAGTATATGACATTATGTCAAAGGATAATGCATGTATGGTGTAAGCGTTGATAATTATATATCGTTGTTCAAAATCATGTACATACAATATCATGGTTTTGATTATTTTGTGCATCACATTATGCAGTACGGAAATGCTAAAAGTACAATATCACTTAATAAGTCAGAATAAAAACGCCTATATAAAATAAGGAATTTATAGCATTTTGTTCAAATAATATTTTACTGGTCGATTTGCTGTTTACATTTCAGTCAAATTTATGATTTTATCCTATTCAAGTTTTCCCTAGTATTTATTATTACGCTCAGATTGACTTGATTTCCTTTCAATGATGGCTCGGATAAATCCATTATTGCATAGTTGTGCATTATGAAATGGTGATGAATAATCTTTCAATCATCTTTTGTAAACAAGACAACAGGATCTATGTTCTACTGGTAACTTGCAGTATGCATATATATATGCAAAACGTAACGTCTTTCTTCTTTTGTCAAAAATCATTTTTATTTATAATTTACTCGCATCTCGTCAAATCAAGTTTTTTCTATATATATATATATATATTGAGCACACATATTTGTCTAAAGAACAAAATCTTGAATATAAATAGAGATTGCAATAAATGTCAGCTAACATCTGGAAATCAACATTGATACAAAAGGATTTTCTTTGTTATTCACTCTACAGACATAGATATATAATAGGTACATAGAAACAAGTTAAATGTATATTTTGATATATATTAATTTTGAATTCGGCTTAAAGTTCTCCGAATAACAAATAAAGGTACTTACAACACGGATTCTGTTAAGTGTCTTCTGTAGCTATGGACGTCCAATGATTGGAATAATATATATATACATGCGCAATGGATTATATACTCCAATTATCACATGCCAAGTCCCTGTCTGTCGTGACTGACAGTAGGTGTTAAATATGTCACATCCAATACGTTTACTGTGACGCTAAACTAATGATACACTAGTTTTTAGTCAAAGTGGA